GGACTGGTCGCTCAGAACTTCTTTCACACATCGTGCTTACTGCGACGATGTTGTGCGGTACTGTTGATAGAGGAAATCTTGCACCACTTTAAGTGGCCGAGCAAAGCAGAGACCCCGCGCCCCCTTTTTAATATTGACTCTTGATCCTCCGAAGCGCCGTGGGTTCCAATGACAGAAATCTTGCACCACCTCGGTAGTCATCGTCGTCAATATTAAAAAGGGGGTGCGGGGTTATGCTCACGTGTCGCGTCACTTGATATTAAATAGGTGGTGCAAGATTTCCTCCATCAACCGACAGGATCCTTCTGCTGAGATGACAAAAGCAGCCTGTGTGTTTGCTAGACATTACCGTGCTTCCTGTGACGGGTAACATCGTCCGTGTAAGCTGAGCCCAACACATGTCCAAGAATGCGATACCGCAAGTTCCTAGGCGCGGCATGCTGCTATGTACGGTTCAAAACTACGTAGGCCGACGCCCTGTCCGAGCAAAAGTGTTTGCTTGGCTTCCAGGGTAGACCTGCAGCGTCGAGCTTCCATTTTCGTCGTAGCAGAGCTGGTCGAAGCTACGACTTGCGGCGTGCCTTTGGCTGAAATGAAAAAGGATAAGGCCTACGGTTGCCACAGTGGCTGCAGTGCAGCTTTTTTTTTTTAGCACCGTCAGGTGCCCGCGACATTGCCTGCAGTTGAAGCGCTGACTTGCCCACGCGTGCCACGTGACTGATGAACGTTGCCTTCCCCTGTTGTTGCCCTGCTGTTAGATCCCAGCTGACTCAGGCAGTCGCCCAGCGTAGCATAGCCTCTTCTCGCTTTTCTTCATAAGCCATGGTTGGAACGTGGAAGAAAATGTCTTCCGAAGAGATCCGGCTTGCTCAGAAGTGGTACGATCAGGAATCGTTGGCGCCGTCGCAAATAGCTCAACGTCTTGGCCGTGACAAGTCTGTCATCACCCGCCTCCTCGTCAAGCAAGTTCCTCGTAAGAAGCAGGGCCGTCGACAGCTCCTAACCGAGCCTCAAGTCGATCAGCTTCTACGTCGCCTGCACCAGATGATCGTCTCCGCCGATGCGAAGTACCACGTGACAGTGCAGATGTTGCGCAAAGCCACCAAAACCAAGGCCAGCGAGCGCATCATCTTGGAGGCCTTGCATCGTCGCGGGGTCTACTTTCGGAAACTTCGTGAGAAACCCTTGCTGACTGCAGAAGACATCCGAGCTCGCTTCGCCTTCGCCAAGCGCTACAAGGACAAGTCTGCGTCATGGTGGAATTGCAACGTCCATGCTCCTAGGCTGTGTGCTGAACATGTTTTCTTTGTCTCTCTAGCTGAGAAGACCCTTCAATCAGCATCTCTGTCAACGACCGACCCAGGCATTTCTTGATGGAAAGCACTTCAAAACCTACCTGACGTCGGCTGCCAGGAAGATGGCGGCCCAGCATCGAACCTTCGGTGCCTACCGTGCTCCTGGACGCGGCTTGAGTGGTGGCTACGTCAAGCCAAAGAAGGGTCTGGCCGCAAGCACAGGCTCGAAGAGCTGCTTGGTCATGGGCGCCATCGGGAAGGGTAGAGTGCTGCTGTGGCATGTCGTTCCCTCCGGCCGATGGACTGGACAGGCTGCTGCGGACATGTATGCTGGGCCCTTGAAAGCCGCTGTGGAGCGCGCTTGGCCCCGCAAGCGTCAGCATGCCGTGCTGGAGGACAACGACCCTACCGGCTTCCAGTCCAACAAGGGCAAGATGGCGAAGTGTGAGAGCGGCATTTCCACCTTTGCAATACCTAAAAGATCCCCCGACCTGAACCCCATGGATTTCTGTATCTGGTCGGAGATCAACCGGCGCCTCAGGCGCCAAGAGGCCAAGTGGTCAGCCGCAAAGCGGGAAACCCGGCCTCAGTACCTGGCACGCTTGCGTCGTACAGCTCGCAAGCTGCCAGAGTCCCTCATCACGAGTGCCATTGGTGACATGAAACGTCGTTGCCAGAGACTGTTTGAAGCCAAAGGCCACTTTTTTGAAGAAGGTGGAGCTTGATCCGCTGAAGCAGAGCAACTTCATCCGCTGAGGCCGCAGAATAAAGCCGTTTCAGCCCGCTGTGCTTTCTTCCATGCATTGCATGCCGGGTACTCCACTTCGATCCAAGTCGTCTGTTCCATTCCGCTCCGCTGGACTCCGCCAGGGATCGCACTGGTGAGCCTGTAGTGCATTCTGGAGTAGTGTGATTCCTGCACCTTCTCTACACTACAGTTGACCCCTCGCGAACGAGCAAAGACATGCAAAATGGCAGTCAACACTCAGTCAACACTCAGTCAACACTACAGTCAACACTACAGTCAACACTACCAAAACCCTGGGAAAACCATGCAAAATCCACATTTCAGTCGTTCTCAAGGAAAAATAGAGGTTTTTTAGCTTCTTAATGGCCAGAACAGAGAAATGCTGGATTTCACAACATTTTGGCAGTGTTGACTGTAGTGTTGACTGTAGTGTTGACTGAGTGTTGACTGAGTGTTGACTGTCATTTTGCATGTGTTTGCTCGTTTTGGACCAGAAAATTAGCAAACAGCTGGATCTTCCAGCACTTTGGCAGTGTTGCGGCGTTGTAGTCCAATCACTCCGCTCTTAATTCGCTGGGGCAATCACGGGCAAGTTGAATGCCGACTTCACGGCCATGCAATCCTACGTGTTTGTAAATTTGTGCCTGGTTGAAACACTGAATGTTACACATCCTAGCGGCCGGGAGCAGCTCGCGCTTTCGACCAGGAAGGGGGAACACCACTCCTGTAGATCTTGGGTAGAAGTTACTCCGGCAAAGCCTTTGCTCAGCATGACCGCACAAGCTGGCAACTGGCGCTTGTTTGGCACAGACCTGTCAGGGAAAGACGCAGACTATAGTCCTTCTTGCCATGCCGGCCGTGCTTAGTCGACCGCTGCGACGGTTGAGGGACAAGACTTGGCTTGGGTTCGAGCTGCTGGATGAAGAACCTGCATGGCACAAGCGCATTTGCTTCCGTCTAGAGACGGACGCAGATGAGCCATTGGTCCCTGTGCAGCAATATTCTTATCTGCAGGAGGAAAGCCTGCAGCCGGAGTGCTCGCAAGCCTCCAAGCAAGTCTATCTCGTCACGCTGCCAGCGCTCCGCCGCCTGAGCGATGCCGACTCCAAGCCTGGACTGCAGTGTCCGAGCACTTGGGACCACGAAACTGTGGCACGTGTGCTCTTGGATGCTTTCCAGCGGCCTGTTTGCAGCAACAACAACGCAGCATGGGGCCACTCAGTGCAGCTGGAGGCATTCGTCGTCTTCCGAGAGCATCATGCTCCCAGAGATGGCGAGGCCCGTGGGCCAGCTCACTGGCACATTGCGTTGAAGGCGTCCTCCTGTTTCCGCTTCGCTGCCTTCAAGCGTGCTCTCTCTGTGCACCATGGCATAGCAAGCCATTGGAGCTGCTCACGCACGGGGTACTGGTCTGCAGTGAGGTACGGCTACCTGCCAAGTCCTACCAAGCCGCAGGATGCCTTGGACCCAAGCCCCTTCACCTGGGCGCGAGATGGCTGCCACCGCAAGTTGTTTGAGGTTTGCCAGGAGCCTACAACTGCAAACGCTTTGAGCAGGCGACGGGAGACCAAGGTCAAAGCGGCATATGAGGAAGGCAAGCCGGAGCCGAGGCCATCCGAGATTGACCTCTACGCCATCATTGTACGGCATGGCTTTCGCAACACTGACGACGACCACACGGCCGCAGAGCGATTGATCCAGTGGTTGAAGCAGTATGGATCCCCGGGGTTGGTGAGCTTTGCCTTCAAGAACCGGCAAAAGCTTCCAGGCATCATCGACGATGTCTGGTCTTGGGAGAATGTTGACGACTTTCTCCAGGCCAACGCCCTGACGCGGAAGCAACGCTTGCAGCAAGCTTTGACGGAGCCTTGCCAGTGCGGTGGGATGTGGCTCCAGTGCGCGGTCCAACTGCTACAGCGCAACCACATCCACATTCCGGACATCTGCTCGCATCTTCAGCGCAGCCTTTTGCTGGGAAGGCGTGAAGATGTCCCAGTTGTCGTCCTCATGGGTCGCTTTGGTGGCGAGGGCAAGTCATTCTTACTCTCCCCGCTCCGCACTCTTTTTGGTGTGGAGAATGTGCAGGCCACGCCTCAGCCCGGATCCTTCCCGCTGCTCGGCCTTGAACGCCGGAAAGCAGTTCTGCTGGATGAGTGGGCCTTTGACACATCGGTTCTGGCGCTCCCCACGCAGCTGCTCTGGTATGAAGGCAAACCGTTTCCTTTGACTAGGCCACAGAACAAAGACTTCAATGGGCATCTTCTCTATCAAGGCACAGCTCCCATCTTCGTGACTTGTAAAGAAAAGGAGCTAGCCCCCATTGTTTCCAAGGCCCACGAAGCCGCGCAGTTGGGTAAGCCCAGTGAGTGGACGATGTTGCTGCGCCGTCTTCGCCTTTTCACGTTTACTGTGCCCTTCCCCGTGAGCACTTGTAAGATTCCAGAGTGTGCGACCTGCTTCGCTCGACTTCTTAATTCGTACGCAGTGCCAATGAACTAGCTGCTTCAACCACTTGCATTATGCGAGTGAACTCCGCGCTCACAGAGCTAATGCGCCACCGTCTGAAAAGCGGACCACTCTCTGCAAGCTCGCACGTCTGAGCCAGAACTTCTGTCACACAAGTTTTGCTCAAATGTTGTTACTAGTTGTTCGTTTCTCACACAGAAAGCCAAACAAACTAAGCTTACGCCGCCTCGTAGACTCGATACCGGCATGGAGCTGCTCGCTCAGAACTTGTTTTGTATGTTAAACTCGGTTCAAGGGCATAGGACTGGTCGCTCAGAACTTCTTTCACACATCGTGCTTACTGCGACGATGTTGTGAGGTACTGTTGATAGAGGAAATCTTGC